TTATTGCCACCCACACCATCATCCTTCCTACCTAGGCATCTTCCCAGTACTTCCAATCCCTTCAGAGTTCCTCTGCAGCAGTCCCGTGTTTTGACCACCACTCTTCATAGCCCCTTTCCCATTAAAAAAAAATAAAAATCCACCACCCAGAAAAATCAGCATTTCAGATCCTTCTTTAACAACCACAAAGGAAGTTGGCTAGGTCAACTTCATCCTGTTTACAGCTCCCTGCTTTCCCTTCAAACTGAACTATTTTCTATCCACCCTCTTCTCCTCCCTGTAAGATTAATTTCTACTATCTACATCTCTTCCCCTAACTCCACTTTTGAGATTTGCCCTGGCCCACAGACTATGTGAACAGCAGATGCAAACTACTTGCAAACCCAGGAATTAAATTTGAGGCTAGTTTTCAAGAGTAATAATTTTCACTGTGAGACACTGAAGTCTGCTGCTTCCTGAACCTTGAGTTCATTGGCACTTACAGCAGAGCGAAATAAATGCAAGAAACACCGAACTATCAAAAGGTTTGGAGCCATCACTGCAGACAATAGCAATTCTATAGATAACACTGCTTCATCACAGTGTTATAAGGGTAATCACATGAGAAACTATGAAGCATCAGCCAACTGTAATATAGAAGTTTAAGAGTATCAGACAGAAACCTTGCATTAATAGTTTTACCTAAAAGTAGATCAATGTGGAATCCCCGTGTATAGCAGGCACTGCATAAGACAGTTTCTATTATCTCATTTTCTTAATTACAGGAAACAGAGAAAACTCAAATCTCAAACTTCCATATCTGCTCTTATTTCCATACCTAATGGGAAACCCAGAACGTTGCTTCGGTAGCTGAGGATCTGCACATTCATACTCAGAAAGATGCCCTTGGATTGCATTACAGTTTCAGCTGAAGCCACCAACTTAAAAGGATATTGGGTTTCCTCTGATTACTGATTCACAGAAGTACTGGCAAACCACCAGAGACTGAACCCATTCTGGAAAGGAAATTCTCTCTTTGCAGTTGACTTTACACAGAAATTATTATGAGAATAACTTTAAGAAACGCATCTAACTAATCTTCGCTAACAAAGGGTAAATTCTTTGAGAGTCTTAGCTTTTTCCAGACATGCTCACTTTTTTCATCTTTATGATATACTGGTGCAGGAAATTGGACATTTCTTCTAGATGCTGACAGATTTCTCACATTGAACAGCAAAACCTCCTGGTCACATTCATCACTTCAGTCACTTCCTCCTCTGGTATGTTCCTGGAGAGTCCAGAAGCATCACACATTCAAGAAAAGCAATAAATAGCATAGTACTCTGGTGAACACTCTTT